GCGCGCTCCTGCCTCCGGCCTCTGTCCCCCACCCCCCCTTCCCCGGTCCCGGTCTCTCCTTCAGAAAGATGTCGGACACGGCAGTAGCTGACACCCGGCGCCTTAACTCGAAGCCGCAGGACCTGACCGACGCTTACGGGCCTCCAAGTAACTTCCTGGAGATCGACATCTTTAATCCACAGACGGTGGGCGTGGGCCGCGCGCGCTTCACCACCTATGAGGTTCGCATGCGGGTGAGTCACGGGGTGAGGGAGACAGCTGAGGGAGGATGGGGCGAGCGGGGGTCTGGCTGCCAAGGCGGGGACTAACGGCCCCGGAAGGCGCTGGAAGGGGTCCTTTGGGGGTTAGGGGCTTAGTAGGTTCGGAGAGAGGTTTGCAGACTCGGTTGTGACCCGAGCAGACAAACTCCTGAGGGGGGACAGCGGACGAGGGTGAAGAAAAACAAGTAGCCACAGGAGGAAGAAGTGAAGCATGGCTGGATAGGGTGGGGAGGATGGAAAAAGACTAGAGCGAGGCTTTCAGGGAGGTGGGAATCGTGACTCGCCCCAGACGGAAGGCAGGAAGGAAAGGTGGACGAGGGCTGGGGGATGGAAAGCCAAGGCTGCATGTCGCTTGGCCCCCTAACTAAACTAGGTTGAGGGAAGTCTGTCTGAAGAGCGCGGGCCAGGAAGGCCGGGCTTCTTCCTGATGTCTCCCTGGGATGATGGAGTTAAGCGAAGCCTCGGACCAGAGGGAAGGGAGACCCTGGGTAAGGGAGGCAGTGGGCTTGTGGGAGCCAAAGCAAGGAAGGGAGTCTCCTTGAGACTTAATGCTTCTCCAGACCTGTAGAACTAGCATTTGAAAGAGAAAAGTACTTTAAGCTTAAGTTTTCTCAGGTACCACATGCTGTGTCTCACCTTGAAAGCTGGCCTTGCTGGGGATTGGTAGATCGGCAGTTGCTGCTCTCATCCTGTGCTAATCTTTAAAGCTGAAGTAGCTAGAAGGTTTACTTTTTACACGTATTCCACTCTTCATTTGAGTTCTCTGTATGTAAATGGTTATTTGCCCTTTCTGTCCTAGGTTAACCTTTTGGCTTCTGACCCTGATCTTTTGTTACTTTAATACAGGACATTTCAAGACTGCCCAGGAGTGGCTTCTTCCAGTGTGCACTACAAGAGGACTTTATTCTCTAGTGCTTAGTCCACAGTGCAAGGATGGAATGTACAGATAGAATACATGTCTTGCGGGTTCTTTTGCCCAGTTGAAGTGACTATGGGCAAAAAAGTTTGAAGACCATTTTCTGGTTTTCCTTATGTTTCTTCTCAGACTAGAGGGCCAGAATATTCTCTATGGACAGCAAGCATCCTGCCCAAACAGCATTGAAGACCTAAAAGAATATATGTGCTTTCAGTTTTGAATGAATGATTTGAATGAGAAAGTATGATCTCCTGCCTGAGTTTTTGGTTTTTTTTTGTTTTTGTTTTTTTGTGTTTTTGGTTTTTTTTTAAGAGAGATTTTGGCTATAGGGTGCGTCTGCTCACCAGAGAGACAGAGAGACAGAAAGCGAGAAATCACCCCCCAGGGGGATGGCCACGCTGCAGTCCCTTCTCCATTCTCTTGAGATCTTGGGCACGCATACACAAGTGCCTCATGTGAGTGGTAAGCCGCTGGGACCAGGACTCAAACCCCGGTCGACTATGTGGGAGTCCCACAATGTAACCATTTCGCCATCTGCTGGTCACTGATCTACTACCTGGGTTTTAAAATCTAATTGAGAAATAATCTCCAAATTCCAAGTTTGGCAAAGTTAAAAAAAAAAGTGAATAGCAAAACATGGAAAACATTTAAATAAGAACTATTTGAAATCATCTCTTTGGGGAAGGTGAAGATTAGATCCTTTAAAATATAAAAGCAAGGAACTGTTAGTGGTGGAGAACTTAATACCTGAATGAGCCTGGTCATAGCCTGTTTAATTATAAGGGCTCTCTGTTGTGGGGTTTTAGAGACATTGCCTTGATGCATTACTGAAGAGCCTTCTGAATGAAATAGCTCTCTGCTTTTAGGTAGCGTAAGAGCAACTGGGACTGTTTATTCAGTGCCTACATATTCCAGACACCAAACTAGGTTTTAGTTTTTATCTTAATCTTTTTTTTTTTTTTTTTTTACTTTCGGGCATGTGTGCTCACCAGAAAGACAGAAACAGAGAGACAGAAAGCGAGAAATCACCCCCCTGGAAGGTTGGCCACGCCGCAGTCCCTTCTCCACTCTCCTCTCGGGGATCTTGGGCACACATGCACAACGTGCCTGGCATGAGTTTAAGCCATTGGGTCCAGGACTTAAACCGTGGTCAACTACGTAGGAGTCCAGCGACATAGCCATTATGCCAACTGCTGGTCCCAGTTTTTATCTTAATCTTTATAAAACTCTCATTTTACAAATAGGAAACTGAGGAAGAATGCAGGTTAAGTAACCTTCCCAAGTTTGTATAATTAAAACTGACAGGACTGAGATTGTAACACAGGTCTGTCTTACTGTAAAGTCCATATTCTGTCTACTACACTTTAGTTTTTGGCAAGGCTTAGTTGCAAAATTTTAATGTGCAAAATTTTGCTACCCATTAAGCATTTTCCCTCTATCATTTATTTATTTTTACATTTACCCATAAACATTTACTTTACATATCAAAAAATTTTTGCTCATACTCCATAGTTCTTGACAGTTAATAAAGGACTTTCAAAATTTCAAAAAAACTGAATTTTAAAGATAATGTTCAAAATATTTGTTATAATTTTGTTTGTGACTCTATAATAACAGAGACTGTATGGTTTTAAATATTTATGTTAACTACTCAAACTGTTGAAAAGCAGACAGACACCCAGCAAGCACATAATTCACACATAAACCTCAATTCAGCCCTGCCTACCAAGTATACTGTGATAAACCATCTGCTAGCAAAGATCTGTCTCTTTTTCTCCCTTCAAAGTCTTCCTCAAGATAATCCTCTGGTTGTGACTGCTCTTTTGCAATCTCTACTGATTACAGTGCTGGGCTGGAAAAATCCAGGTTATTTTATGGTATGAATTCTTTCATATAGCTTCTCTAATCCTCCCCATTAAGCTTTTTATCAGTCCCTATATAGTTTTTAAAAGAAATATTTATTTAACTTTATCATTTTTTAAAATACCTGATACAGGACATGCACACTTCGAGCGAGCTGCCAGTTCTGAGACTTGAACTGTGGTCAGCCATGTAGGAATCCAGCACCTTAACCACCATGCCACCTGCTGGCCCCTTCCATATATATTTTTTTTTCTTTTTTAAATTTTTTTTAGAGAATTATTTTATTTATTCATTTGTTTTAATTTGACCAGAGAGGGACCAAGTGAGAGAACAAGAGTAAGGGAGAGAGAGAGAGACAGAAAGTCACTAGGTCTGGGACTCAAACTATAGTCAACCATCTGGGAGTCCAGCACCCTTAACCACCATGCCACCTGCAAGCCCTCCCTTCCATATTTTTTAATTGTATGATGATAGAGTTGATGGTTTCTAGGTCTGTGGATTTGAGTTAGTTTGTATTGTTTATGTTAATCTGTATGATTGTGTAGGCTTTTTTCTTTCTTTTAATTTGATCGGAGAGAGACAGAGAGAGAGGGAGAGAAAGAGAAAACAAGCTGCCAGGTCTGGGACTTGAACCTCAGTTGGCCATGTGGGAGCCCAGTGCCCTTAACTATCATGCCACCTACCAGCCCCGGCTTTTTCTTTTTATAGAGAGATTTTTGCCATATTGTGTGTGCACTCGCTGGAGAGACAGAAAGTGAGAAATCACCCTCTAGGGATGTTGGCCATGCTACAATATGTTCTCCATTCTCCTCTTAGGATCCTTGGCACACATGCACATGCACTCAGCATGAAGGTTTTTTTATTTTTATTTTTGATTATTTATTAATTTTATTTATTTAAATTTGCTACAGGGCACATACACTCACCAGAGAGAAAGAGAGAGAGGGGAGAGAGAAAGTGAGAAAGCAAGCCACCAGGTCTGGGACTTGAACCATAGTCGGCCATGTGGAAGTCCCACACCTAAACTACCATGGCATTTGCTGGTTCCTGCCCAGTGTGTTTTGTTTGTTTGTTTGTTTGTTTGTTTGTTTTTGAGAGGTTTTTGCTATAGGGTGTGTGCGCTTGCCAGACAGACAGAGAGAGACATAGAGACAGAAAGCTAGAAATCACCCCCCAGGGGGGATGGTCACGCTGCAATCCCTTCTCCTCCATACTCCTCTCGGGATCCTGGGCATGCACACACACACGCCCGGCGTGAGTTTCAAGCCACCGGGTCTGGGACGCGAACCGTGGTTGACTACGTGGGAGTCCAGTGGCATAGTCATTACGCTAACTGCTGGTTCCCCCCAGTGTGTGTTTTAAGCCATCAGGACTAGACTCAAAACTGCGATTGACTATGACCATGTGGGAATCCAGCAATGTAACCATTACACTATCTGCTGGTCCCAGTGCAGGCTTTTAATATTGTTATTTTATTTTGGGAGAAAATCAGTAAAATCATTTTTTTTTCTTTTTATGGAAAGCTATCATTTATTGCCTAGAAAGGAAATTGAGGTTGCTATGCAACGATCATAGGGACTAGGTCTCGAACCCAGTTTCTAAGCTCAGACTCAAACTCAAATCATTCAATTTTAAATTGGTATTATAAGTGATTAGTTGTGGTATATATTATAAGGGATTGTGAGACCACAGAATGGACTTAGAGAGTTAGGCATTCTGGTGGAAGCACATGGAACTTTTTTGTTCTATGTATAATAGCTAAATATTTCTGAAGCTGTTCTCTTTATTTTGCTTAGGAAGGAATCCCTCCTCCCCTTGAAATGGGGAGTTTGGAGAGAGGTCCTAGTGACCTCATATTATATATATATGGGACTTTTCAAATGTCAGTTGTCCTGTGGACTTGAACTTTGCTTCTTTCTCTGCTTTCCCTTGTGTCTATGTTGTTCACAGTCAAAGGACTTGCCCTTTACTACATAGTCCTGGTTTCTTCATATGGTTTTTAGGTTGGAGTCTACAGTGTAGTAGCTAAAATGTAATAGTCCCTTTAGGTGGCTAGGTGCTGAGGTGAAAGATGGTTATTGCCACTATCGTGTGGGGATAGGTAAAGAACAGCATTTTTTCTCTTCAAAGGGGGAAGTCCACAAAATGGCAGTGACTAGTTTGGCTGTGTCTTGGAAGAATCTACTTACTATTTTTTTCCTCTTTTATATGGTCCTTTGTTGGCTTCAGTAAAAGTCTGCTAGTTAAGGTTCTAGTGTTTGGGGATCACAGTATCTGTAATGAACTCTGATAAAAACCTGCATCACATGATTCCAGAGGACTGTTTTTCTTGAAGGATTCTGAGGGTTTTATTCTATAGTAGTTTTTTTTTTCTTTTGAATAGTTAATACATGTACATGGTACAAAATCCAAAGGGTACAAAAAGTATACTGTAAAAGTTAAGTCTCCTTCCCTTCTCTGCTTTCCCAAGGTTTTCCTTTCTGAAGAAACCACTGTTTCCAGGTGTTTTTTTTTTTTTTTTTAATTCTTTTAAAGGATAGTTTAGGTTCTATTATTTTAATGTCTCTCACTCAATTTCAACCCACTTATATTCCTTGGATCTTGATTATCCTAAGTAGAGTTATAACCAATGTAAGTTGGCTGGTTATTTGGCTTTTGATGACTAACACCAGAACTGGATCCTGAAAAGGCAGTTTTTAGTGCTCTTTTCCTGCCAAGTGGCAGCTTCAGAGAAAGGAGAGAACTAGTTTCTTTCAGAATGGTCGGTATTAATACATGTGGCTGGGCATTTCTATTTAGAACTTGTAGAAAGGAGTGAAGATTAGGGCTTTTTGTCACTGGGTTCATATTGCCGCTAGAACCTTGGGATCTTCTCAGTGATCAAGATGTGGGAGTGAGCTGATTTATATCAGGAAGCAAGCTCTGGTGAGCCAACTTAATGGCTATTTCTTCTGTATTTTCTAGATAAGGAGAGGATAAACAGGTACACAGGGTGTCTTAATGGAATATCTTGCATATTCTGTATTTTGGGAGATAGAAGGCAGTCATGGTTCCTGATACTAAAGAGATTATAATTTAGGTAGACAAGATAAACATGATACATAAAACAATAGTGTGTCAAGCAGTATTGAAGTATAGAAGGCAGAGAAATTCAGAGGTGAAGACCAGTAAATCCAGCTGAGGTTGTCAAAAAAGATTTCTTTCTTTTTTTTTTTGGAGAGGTTTTCTCTATAGGGCATGCGTGCTCGGCTTGCCAGACAGACAGAGACAGACAGAAAGCGAGAAATCACCCCCCAGAGGGGATTGTCACGCCGCAATCCCTTCTCCATTCTCTCGGGATCTTGGGCACGCACGCACACGCCCGGCGTGAGTTTTAAGCCACCAGGTCTGGGACGTGAACCACTGTTGACTACGTGGGAGTCCAGCGACATAGCCATTACACTAACTGCTGGTTCCTTCAAAAGAGATTTCTTAAGTGAAGTGAGAC